CGAGTCTTAAGAGACTGCTAGCTGTAAGTGATCGAGTACATTATATTATTATCTTTTTATTTTCGATTATCTTACCACAGTTTTAATGATAAATTGAAAGAGATGATCGCATACTGCGACGTTGATGCGTTACACGAAACTACGAAAGCGATACTAACGGAAATCATGACAGTGACGTGTTGCCGCCACGGTTGAGCAATAAGTTTGCATTGACACTGACCCAAATTCTTTCGTTATAGTCCAAATCAAATCGAGACGACGGACGTCGTTCGTATATACCAGTGTAGCTGTATACCAATGCAATAACGGCGACCAGTACATCCAATACGCGTAACGTATACGAGATGAAAATATTATATACCTACATTGTAATATCACAAACACACGAGAATATAATTTTATTATAAACGTATAAGTGAATATTGTAAATAATAATTATTATTATTCGCTTTCACCGACCACACGGTGCGCGTACAGATAGCGCTCAAGGCGACAATATCGATCGTCGTCGTCGTCGCCACTGCCTGAGCAAACTGTCCGATTACACTGAGGCACCAACACGCGCACATTCCGCAAAAGGCTGTTGCACCGGAGGATATCTCAGATATCTGCACCGGTGCATTGTCATGTATACTCTATAATTCATTGACGTGAGCAAAAATAAAACAAAAAAAAGATCGAAGAATGATAAACGAAATACACTAATATATTATATTAGTATAAACGTATAGGAATAGGACTAATAATATATTAAATAGTATATTATGAAATATTATGTACCTATATCAATGGTATAACACTATAACATATTGATCTCAAACAACCTATTATATATATATATTATATCGAAGCGCATCTAAGCTACTTGGAATAGAATTTCGCAATTTTTAAATACTATAACTTGGATACATTGTAATTATTAATACCCAAAAAAGTCATAATGATGATTAATGACAATATGCATAGATGATGCGTTTTTCATGCAATACCATATTATAATATTATACGGCGCATTAGCATTTAATGTACGCTATTTATTCGAACCGGATCCATAAAATGTATTTGAATATTTCCAATAAAATGTACTGTAATGTAAGTTAAAACAATTAAATGGAAATAATTGTTCACGGATTATATATGCATAAGATTTCGTTCCACAGACATGTTGAGAAACATCACAACAACGCGTGAATGCATGATAAATTTAAGTCATTACAATGTTTACTTATCGATTCACGATAACACTAATATTATTATGTTATAACTATTTAAATCAGATAATAATATTCTGTTTCAATATGCTATTAAAACATAAAATGCATACCATTAAATTATTTTAAAATCGATTGATTTTTGTTTTGGTAAGGTTTAATTTATTAAGTTCCTTGTAAAAAAATAATTTCAAATCATAGTATTAAAAACTTGAATGTCTCATATGCGGTATATAATACCAACCTTCAAATACTTGTTTCAAAAACTTCATTTGTAATAAATCTATGAAAAATTAACGTATATGAATAATAAAATACAACGTTTGGGAATAAATAATAATAACTCAACAACGTAATTATGTAATAAATTATATAATTAGGTGTCGACGAATCTCCAACGGAAATAATTTACGAACCGCTATGTGTATTGTGCACATGTATCTGATCAGGATCTAATCGGCATATCAGGAAGTCAGTCGTCTTAAAAAACAGTTGTAAACAGGTGTTTTTGAGTTCTGATACGTACAAGAACGGTTGGATTTACGTAGGAACGTTTTGATACACGGAAACAATTTGAATAGAAATGATAATATCATAAATCATAATATTGTTACGGGATAAAACTGATTTCCTAGTTCTAAGTTATATGGTTTATATAGGCTATGAATTATGATAAACATGTGTGTATTTTGCTTCTGTTTTTACTGACTACCACATTTAGTGTTCTGCATTTAAAAGTTTCAGATTTATTTATTAATTATTAATACAAACGCCTTCAATTTAAATTTTTGCAAATTTTCTACTAATTTATTAGAATTACCTTACTATTAATTTTAGTATTATATGAATGGGAATATTAAGATTGTTATGGTGCTAGTAACAGTTCTATTCGAACAATCATACATTTTAGGAAAACTCAAGTAAATTATATGAACTGTTACTATACACACTATTCTTGGTTTTTTATTTTCATTAAATAATAGAATAATAAAACTATTGGTTTAACTATATAAATATTTTCAAAACAAATAAAATCATTCCTTTTATCACTTAATTACACGAGCAATTTTCTAGTCTCATCTTTAGCAAACTATTAAAATACGAATAAACTATGTTGCATAATTGTACATTATTATAAAATTATGTTATTTAATAACAATATTAAAATAAATATAACGTATAGGCGGAAGCAGATGAGCGATCTTGAACTTTTCTATTCGCTCATACAATTGCCAATGTGCAAACAAAAAATATTAATTAGCACCTATATACCTATTTCTGACATTATATGATAGGAATGTCGAATGGTATGTATAAATATAGACACTAACCAACCGTCATAAAATATGTATCACGATTTCATAAATATACGTATATTACACGATATCAACTATTTACGCTATATTTCCGTCTACATTGGTAAATAATAATATAATGCTATATCTATGAATACAAAAAAATCGATCTAAAATACGATGTTTTTATGCTCGGACCGTTTTACAATATGAGAACGCGATTCGTGTTGTATGCGATTTTTTTTTTTTTTTGTTACCTCTGTTCCTCTATATATTGGATCAAAACCAATAAAAGTGCATCAGACAAGGTTGCCAAAAAAAAAAATATATAATAATAAATAGTATACATTAACAATGATGTTCACGCGTGTGTGTGTGCATCCGTTCAACTGTAATGTCTTAAATATGAAACACAAACACATAATGGAGCATAATAACTATGAAGTTTTATCTTTTATATGAAATTGAAGATTTCATCAAAAACCTTATTTGTTTTCTCATAGATATTTCTGTGGGGGCTTAGCCACTAGTGTGGATAATAGTCGCCCCTACACAAAAACATTTTTTTTTTTTTGATTAAACAAGATAATTTAAAAAACATTAAGACATTAACTTTTTAAATTTATTCAAACTTCAAATTGGCTTTAATCCAATATAATAATATTCTAAGCACCCAAAAAGAGACAATTTTCTAAAGAAAACAAGTATAAGCGTAGGTTGATCAAATAAATTGATGGATGTACGACTCAATAACCAATCTGCACATTAAAAACATATTATGGGGATACAGCTGCAGTAACCCTCCCCCAAAAAGAACATTTGATTACCCTATATCCCTAAAGGCCTAAATACACCTATACTTTTTTCCTATAATTGTTTCGAAGCAATGAAAGAGCATACGCATAGAAAAACTCATTAAATCCAACGACATAATCGTAATGTAGAATTTCTATTCGACATGTAATTGACGTACAGGAAGTATGGAAACTATTATATGAATGCATTATTGTACTTTAAACAACGTATCCTAAATGTGTTAGTTGTGTAAAATAATAAATAAAATAGTTATTTTATTTAAATTGCCGAATTATGAGTAAAACGCAAGTTTAAATTTTTATTATAGCTATTACGACTTATGTAGTGTTATATATACATGAAACGTAACGATGGCACAATTAAATGTTGCTAAGTAAGGGAAAAGATAAAGGGGTTAGGTTATAAAATGTACATAGCATATTTTCTGGCCCACAACCCAACAAAGTTGCACTCGTAGACCAATCTACATATAATATATACGTTTACGTAACTATACCTATACGTATCTAAATTTATGTGTGCATTGTAAACGTATCGCACGTTTAATTTAGTTTGGTTACGTTTAAATTACAAACATATAACGAGCCATAAGGTTACTTATTACTTGCAGTAGTCAAAATGTTCCTCGCGAGAGTTTAATTTCAATTTATAATTATCAAATAATCTCTAAAAACCTATTTACACATTTACTTATTGATATTGTTGATATTATCTATTTAGATTGCAAAGCCAAATAGCGTTTATAAACTATACAACACATATATCGTTTACATTGGTATAGCAAATAATAATAATAAAATAAGGCACATAAAGCTAAAACACCTTACCCACAAATAACTAATTATATTTTAAGTGATAAATCGACTTTAATTAATATGATATATATTTTTTTAATGATTATAGAATTTTCGGTGAAATTGTTATTATCTTATAAATTATTATAAATTATAAGTTATAAGTTATAGCATATAAGATATGAATCGCACATTAATAACTGTATGGTTAAAATGTTATAAATAATTTTTGAATTTTAACTAACATACAATTTATTTATTTTAATTATTATTTACAAAGGATTTAAATTATACGATACCAAGAATGGTAAGAATATAATAAAACTGAGCATCGAATGTTATTTTTTTTTTTACGCTAAGTCTAGTAGCGTCGAATGAAATTGAAACCGGCAGTTCACTCTATGCCCGTTCTACGCATTCATACACGCAACTATGAAACAGGCTTAACCAACTATATAATATATTAATATGTTTCATAAAATTATGACAGAAAGATTCAGCAGTACTATATTATTTTACCCACCCACCTAATTTTCGAGGTAGTTCAATTTAACTACCCGAAGTATGTGTTTGGTGCTACTAGCTAAGTCTTTTTGTCATTTTGTTACCTTTTTATCAAAAAACTTATTCGTACAACACAAGAAACATAAAGATTGTTTAATAATGACTATTGAAACATATTTTTTATTTGTTTATTTTACATGGTATGGTAGTAACTATTAAATGTTTATTAAAAGTCGTAACCCATAATATAATGTTATTTACAGAAAAGGTTACATACACTCATACACAACGATTGAAGCAAATGACAACTTATCATATTATGCTGCACTATTTTTTGTACTGTTATCTACTGTAAAAATATAATTTGTGTAAGTACGTACCACTTTATCGTAGAAGAATTCTTCAAAAATCCACCCGTTGTCTATTTACAAACATTGATCCTGAAAAACAAAAATTTTAATTATATTATCTATAAATATTAAATCATCGAATTTTTTGTTTATGTACTCTTTTTATATGGTTAATTTTGTTAGGTTATTAAACACAATAACTTATTGAAATAATATTCTCGGTGGAATATATTAAATTAAAATATGTTATTAATTATTAATCATATGCAGAAAACTCATAAGTCATAACGTTTAAGAAGTTACATGAAGATTTTTTTTTGTACACCAAACCTTAATATGCCGAATAATAATGTTATTAATTATACTTCTTTTCATTTAGTGTTAAATGATATGTATTAAAATGTTTAATTGTATATAGTCTAATAAATTATTTAATAATTTAAAAGAATAAAATCTCAAAATACGGTTAATGTTTAGCTTAACATTGGTGCGAGAACGATCGTGATTTAAAGTCTCTGGTTCGAAGAAAGAAATTAACTTATACACTATATATATTTTTATTCTTATTCCCTTCAAGGGTGCAACTAATGAGGTGCCTCCTCTCTCATGTCTTCATATATAGTTATAGAAAATTTCATTTGTTTATATCATTAAATTTATTTATTTTGTTACTTTTAAAATGGATTGTAAACATTGTTAAGAAAAAAATTCACGCTAAGTTGAGATAACAATATAGACGAAGTAGGACAAAAAAATTTTGGGGGACAAAATAATAAAAATAAACGACTTGAAAAAAAAAACATTTAACCGTCGTAAAAACAAAAAATATAACATACGAGTTTTTGGTAGAATATGGTACATCATATTATTCATAATTTTTTTCGTTTGAAAACGCATACACGCGGTTATAGACGAAGATGATGACGTGTAGGAAGTGGTACAATGGAAGGAGGGTAATGACGATGCGGTGACTACGGTACGTTAATAATGGCTGTTCTGTATGTGTATGTTTTGTGCGCGCGCTGGAAGGCGATTTTAAAATAATAGTAACAATATTATTTATATAAGTGAACGTTTTTCATTTTTACATAAAAATTGGTCGTTGTTAGATTTTTTTTTATTTTTTTTTTTTACAACACATATTATTATGAATCATTATTAATAATTGTTTTTATCGTGATATTTCTTTAAATACGTAAAACAAACATTGCAACAAGAATTATTATTATTCTAACTTTCAGTTTGCATTGGCAATCCACATTGTTCGAACAGTGCGAATAAAAATAATCGGCTACGTCCGGCGAAATTGCACGAGGTCGTGGCTAGAAGAATCGGCAATGCCGCATGAAGTGTGAACCAAACACGGAAAACGTCGACCATAATATTTCGCAAACCTATATGTTCCAGAAAATAAAACAAAATAGGTATAAGCCCGTGACAAGTGACACAACCAATACTATGAACATTCGTATTATTATAATATATACATGACATATATTATATGTATTAGATATGTACAGGCAACCGCTAAGTATGTATTTTCTACACCACCAAATACATATTGTAAAAGTACGCTTATAGAAAACCACGCGGCTCAATTTTTGTTTGCATATAATATAATACATTTTGTATATAGAAATATTAATAATTGACGGAATTTGTTTTTATTTTTCGTACGGTCATTTTAATTAAATTTAATGTACATTCATAATGAAAACTTTGGTAATTATAATAACAATTTTATGGCACCATCGTAGTTAAACGTACCAATCACAAAGTTAATAAAAAAAAAAGCGGTGAAAAACTGTTGTTTTCTCAAAACTTGTTTAGTTTCATTTGAAATAATATATAACATTGTTTTGTATAGTGTAAAGTGTGCACATCACAATGTATAATACAGTGCAATTATTACGTGTATATATAAATACATATATTATATTTATTCCAACAACGAATAACAAACTAGTACTTTAATTTATTAATGAAAACAGCCATTAAATATTATATTCATTCAGACTTAGTTAAAACTTGAGAATTTATAGAAATCTGTAATAAATAATAATACTTGTAAAAAGGTTATGATTTTTGATTTTATTAGTATTTTCATATTGAAAAATATTCGATAAGCAATCGATGTTATGACGATGCAATTTTTAAGTATTTTAATTTTTTAATTTTGATAAAAAAAAAATATTAAAAATGTTTCAAAATTATTTACAAAAAGTTTTTGATCACTATTATAATTTATATTGCTGCTTAGCTCACAATAATACACGTAACATGGTGTTGGGATTAAATTTATACAATTATTAAACATTTGTTTGTTATGAATAACAGAATAAGTAATAATATAAAATAATATGTTTAAATATTAAATATTTTAATGAGAAATTATAAATACAAATGTATTTAATAGGTATATAATAAAGTATTTAAATTTAAAAGTATAATACAGTGTAGTAATGGAATATAAAGGCAGAAAAATATATTAAAAATAACATATTTTATACTTATTTATATCCTTTAATTCTTAATAAGTAATATTATATGCATACAGACATTTATTTATATTTAAATTGTGTTCGCTAATATGCGTTTTTTATTTTTTATCAAGTATAGGTAATATTATAATGTTTTGCTTGATATTATAGATATTATAGAAGTAACTCAAATAAATAATAATATAAGAATAATATTCGTAGAGAAATCGACATTATGAAACGCTAAAATGATACAAATGCAACTAGGTATTCAATGTAGATTTCTCTGTACTAGAGGGTGTCTGCACAAAACACTCATTATTTATTTCATCGCAAGCTCTTTCTAAAATGAAAATAATCAATCAATAGAGGAAATGTATTTAACTCAAGTATTTCTTTAGAGATTATTACATCAAATTTTAAAATGTTCAACGATTTCTGAAGTTATAATATTATTTAACTTTTGTATTTTGTGATATCTATTCAAAATATAGTTTTAATTAATATAATTACCTATATAATATATTATATTATTACGTACATTTAATCAACTAAAATCAAGGGAAAAAAATAAATGAATTATTTTCTTAAGGCTTCACTAATATAAATTATAGTTTTTTATATTAAAAACAATACAAAGAACAATTTTTAAACTTAAAGTTATAATTAAAATTAAAAATTGGACATATTAAATTACAATTAATGTGATATGATATAAATTTTATATCATATTTTTTCGTAAAGACTGAAGAATTTCCACAGCATCAGTAAAAAAAAAATTGTCCTTATTTATTTCAAGGGTTTTTTTTTCAAGAATAAGTGCACAAGTGTAAATTAATTCCACAGAAATTTAATACTGTTTGAAATTGGGTTGCGAAATAAATTTTCAGTACGAAGCGGGTCTCAAGAGTTTTTCCATCGTTGTCACCCGAGGAGAAAATCGCAATGAAATAATATAGCACGTTGAGTTGATCGGCAATTAAAAACGTTTCACAACACTGTTACCGACCGACGATGCGTAACCTATAGTCGAATTTTGCAGGCTTTCTATTATTGGAGAATGATTTTTATTTAAATACAGTTTTTAAAAACAGAACAAAATATAGCACATCCAAGTATACGAATAGATAATTTAACGGGTTTTCGTATTTCAATACCTATTCACTTTATACGCTCATGAATAGCGCATTACGTCAACAAAATATTTTTTAATCGATACACCTTATAATTATTATAGAAGAAGAATCAAAAGCGGTTGAAACTGCATCTTTCAGTAATAAATTAATTAGGTTAATGGTAAAGGTTAAAGTGTTATTATGCCTAACCACCGGGTAACACACTATAAAAAGGAAAGAAAATATCTCGTTTGTAAAAATCTTAAAACGCTCAAAATAATAATATCAATATTATAAGATCAAAATATGATGATATCACATACTATACCAAGACATACAGTGCAATATCATGTCCAAACAGCTATCTTCTATTTTAAAAAACAAATTTCAGTAATGATGAAACTGAAAACGTGATTACCAATTTTTATGATAAGTAATTGCCAAAAATCACACACATTAGAATTATCAAATAGGTTTACGTGTTGAGTTATTATTGATTAAATTTTAATTTTTAAATAGTTATATATATATATAAATGATATATTTATATTTAATTTGATTGCAGCTGGAATTAATTATGACAACAGAATAATATATAGCTGTTCTTGATAACAAATAAAACGTGATATTATAATCTATACCTAGTAGTTATATGGTAAATAATAAAACCAACATAATAATATATGATTATATGAATATTATATACATGTGGCTGAATACCTAAGTTTATTTAAACGTTTAGTCTTTAGTATACATAGAGATGATTTGAAGAGGGAAGAATAATTTCGGATTCTAAAAACCATAGTGTAAGCATATGCAAGAAACAATAAACTTATTACTTATGTATTTTCTAATTAGTTTAATAATATTTTTGTTTGTTAACAATCTAAAGACTGAGAAATGTATTTTATAATAATCTAAATTTTATGATAAATAATTCGTTAATTTACTTAAAATAATATAGTAAATCAAACTACATTTTTTAACTTAATTTATCTTTAAACTAACTATTAAACACTACCTAATTCAGTACGTGTACATGAGCTGTATCTGCAATTAAAAATATAGTAATTAAATTATATTAATGAAATTTCTACAGTTTACTGTTTATGCTAAATATATTTATAAAATAGTATCATTGTAAAAAGTATTTAAAAAAAAAAAATCAGTTCATTAATTGGTAATGCATTTTAACACTCTTGATCTCAAAATTGTAGATTAATTGAAGACACTGCTGTATGCTTTATAGTTTATATAGTGAGTGTTTGAGTTTTTGGGTTGTAATAGTTGGCGTTAAAAGATGAAACACACTGATCGCAGTTAAAGTATTTAGTATTTGAATATAAAAACAAATTTTGTTTCCAACAATTCAAACAATTTTGGCATTTAATTTTAATTTTGTAACTTTTTATTATTAGTATTTCACAAGAGCTATTTTTTAAATATATAATTAAGTCATACCTATTCATAATTTTTGGGAATATTTAATAAAAAA